GCATTTTTCTGTTTGCATTCTTGCCTTGAATGTTTAAAGCTGTTAGTAGGAAGAATTTCATATTCTTAGGTTTCTGTTAAATACTGCTGAATGAAGTGGTGTTCAGGATCAACTTAGTGCCAAATGCTGTTACAGCTGATCATGCAGCTGAAGTCTGTGAGTGTTGGGAGAAGGTAAGAGGCTGATATTGAACCTAAGAAATAGATAGTTAGCGTGGTTTTGATATGGATACATTTTGATTTCATAGCTGGTGCAAAGCTCTCTGCTGTTTCCACTTCATTCTTCATTTGTCTATCATTAGAGGCAACAGTAGTTGCCTAGAAATTGTTCATCAAAATTGTTTATGGAATAATTCTGTAGTGCTACAATGGCATATGATGGCAGTGTGAAACCTCATTTATCCTTATCTAGTTTCCTGTATCCCTGTGATGTAGATTTGTTTCACTGTGATTTTCATGCCTGTACTTCCTGAATGGTTGCTGTTCATGATTTCTATTTCTATCCAATGCTCTTACACTGCAAAATGAGTGTGTTGTATTACAGGAAATTCTTCCTTCCTTTGACAAGGTCTCAATCAGCTGTAGACAACATTTTTTTTCTGTGGGGCAAAAGGAAGAAGAAGTTTAAAGAGGATGTCTTGTAGATTATCGGGAGAATTATCTTCTAAAACAGGACAACAAGGAGAGGCTTTAACTTATGATTTCCTTATTTCTGTGTGCTTCCAATCATGAATTTGTTTTGACTGCCACCTTATACTTTGCATTGCTGGCAGGGCTGGATAATTTCCCAATAGCACATGTGCTGGGTGTGTTGGGTGTGATGGTCTTGAAACAGGAGGTTAATGGCCCTATATCTAATTTCTGCTTTCCATTTAAACTCTCTACATCCTCTCTGCTCTATGATATATTGAGGGAGAGAATGTCCTTGTATGTACTCCTGTCATGGTTTTTGTACACGTAGTAGAGTAGCAGGTTGAACTACTGGTCCTTTGATGCTGTTTGTTATCAACAAACATTAATGATAAACTTAGGAGTATCATTTGGGAATGACTTGAGTATGTTGCATCTGAAGAGCATGTGGAGGAAAGAGGTTTATTTGAACCATGACCTCACAGGAATGGACCAGACTATGCTAGAAGGCAATTGGTAGGATAAGAGCCACTTTGTGGGTTCATCACCTTTCAGTTTTTTCCTTGTCTGTTGTTGAAAGTTAAACTAGTCTACAGTGTGGAGGAGAGCCCTCAATGAAGTGGGTGACCTGACTTGCATGTTTTCAGCTCTCAAGAAAAGGACTTGGATATGCTTAAGTTTCCTTCAACTGTCACTGAATGACATGCTCTTGCTATGAGCTGACAGGCTACTTCATGCTGTGTGTCTCCATGATGCAATTGAGGGTTGTGAATGCAGAGCAAGGATGGTGAGTGGCTGGATTTGAATGTGGACAGAAGGAGTGTCAGTGGTGATGTTGTGTGAACAACAGTTTGGATTCATGCTTGGTGCCTACACCTTTAGTATGTATGAACCATTTTTTCCCAGTTTCAATGTCTTGCATGGTAACGGTAATTCTCTGATGATAAAATTTTTCTCTGTATGTTGAATGATAATGCATATCTTCTAATGGCTTATGAATTTTGTATGAAACCTCTCATGTATCTAGATGTGACATCATGATGTAGAGTTTCTTCATAGCTGTTAGTTCTGTTTGTATGCCTTCTTCCCACTGTGGCTTTGTTCCCTGTTTCCCATGTTCTGGACAAAGTATATGCATTTGGAAGTGATAAGGCTGTATTTTCATATCTCCTGGCCTTCCTTGAGCTAGTCTCAAGAAACACATAAAGTCAGAATGTTATATGTGGCATCGAGACAGAATCCCTCATGGTATGGTTTGTAACAGTTAGGATAGTCTGGTTAGGTTTAGGCTGGGCTTGATGATTTTGGAGGTCTTTTCCAACCCAAGCAATTCTGATTCGATGGTTTCCTGAAATAATTTGAAATCTTTCTCATATTAACTCTTTTTCATTTAAAGTGTCATAATCATGGGAGAAAACTAGGACAGTTGGAATTTTTCTGAGAAGTGGTGATTTTTTCCTAAAATGAAATCCTACAGCTTGTAGTTTAGGGGAAGAGTTTAGGGCCCTACTTGCAGTTTAAAAACTGATTCGATTCCAGAAGTTGTGGGATTGAATTTTAGTGTCCACAGCGATGACCATTATTCTTTCTTGAGGAGCTTCTCAGCCATTTTTATCTTTGAATGCTTCCATGTGTTGCTTGACTGATGACAGAATTTCCTGGCCTTATGTCCATGTACATATTTCGTATTCCAAAAAGCAGCAAAAATGGTGTGTGTTTTGTTGTTGTCGTTGTTGTTTTTGTTTAGTAATATGTTATATGTTTATAAGCCTTGTTCACGTCACACACTAGCTGGGTATTTCAGGAGAGTCAGAGCTGGTGTGCAATGGCAGAGATGTGCAGGTAACTCTTTGCTCTCTTCCTTTTTTATTCCTCAGCTCTGGAAGTAAACCTTAGAAGACTGGAAGGTCCTTTAGAATTGCAGAAATGAGGGAGTCGTTTCGACTGAGTAGTGATGTCAAGGGTAAAACTTGTGTATATTTCTCTTTCAAAGCAATATCACTGAATGAAATGTTCCTGTTATCGCCTGACAAAAGTAGGAATGTGGGTACTGTCCATGGTGCTGACAGAGTCAGAGACTTCAGAGTGCAGTGTGTGAGAGCTTGGCTTAGATTTTGGAAAATTGTTGTGTTAAGGAAGGTGTGTCCGGCTTCTTGAAAGCAAACCTTCTTGTCTGGATTTCCTTTCACATCCGGTGCTAATGCCTGCAACTATTTCTGCTATGATCCTGGTTTCTTTGTCCTCAGAGGCAGCGTTAGTTCCCCCAGAATCTTGATTTTGGCAAAAGTTGCATGTGTGGAAGTGAACGAAAAAGAATGCAGCTGGAGGCACCGACTTCTGTGATGCTGAAGTCTAAGTAGTGGAAGAGTGGTGTGGGGGCAGATGTTTCCTGAAAACACTGATCTAGGACTATTGCAGATCCCATAGAGTGCTGTTAAATTTCACCTTCATGTACAGCTGGATGCATGTCTCTGATGGGACAAAATTTCCTTCACACCAAGTGCACTAAGAAAACGGTGTTTTCTTCTCATGTATGGTGTGCAAACATACTAGAAGAATCTGATGACTGCAGACAGCCGAGACAAAGAATGGCTGAAATTATTTCTCTCTCACTTTTGTGTAGATTTTCTCCCTTTTACATGGCTTTGTTTCCCAAAGGCAGAGTTTATTCTTCTTGTGACAGTCACAGAGATTACAGGCAGTGCAAGAGAATCAAGTCTGCCCTTGAAATAGGAAGACTGATTTGTCAGCAGAGTATTCGCCTGTACCAAGTTTCATTTACTCGTATTGCATCAAAGTTAGTGTCTAATTCACTTCCTTTCAACATCATGATATTCAAGAATGACAGTTCTGTCTGTACAAGCCCTCAACCAATAGCACTGCATGTAAAATCATGATAGACAAAAAAGAAGCTTGAATTTTCATTGACTTCCAAGTGCTCATTTTAAGGCAAAATTGTGTCAATGAAACTACACAATGCAATCATAGTCCTCCCTTGGACCTATTGATTCTTTATAATTAGAATCAGAAGTATTTGAAATGACTGAGCTACTGGTTTGTAGGGCGGAGTTTTGGAGAATGCAGCCATGCTCCTCTACCCATTGTTGCAATCTAGAGGTTGCAAAAGGTCATCCAGCATTGCAGCCTCTCAAAGCCCTGTGTCATGCTACTTACATGGGGAAGTGGTAAGGACTTGTCTGCAATGCTTGTGGTCAGTTTTTGTGGGTTGTTGTCATTTCTCGGAGGACTGAAGGCCTCCAAGGGCCTCTCTCTAAGGGCCTGCCCTCTCAGAGGGCTCAGGAAAATGCCTGGCTCCTCATCTAACCGAACAAGGAGGAATTACATGGGTTGGGAATTCGTCTGCATGATATACTGGAGCATGTGCACAGAAGGTTCCCTTAGCAGTGTTTTATGGATACAGGGGAATGGCTTCTTGTAGGCTGTTGATACAGAAACAACAAGAGAAGCCACAAGTGAATGGACTTTGTGGTGCAGAGGCTGTTTCTGCAGAAATCACGTAATACTCAGAAATATTTAGAATTGGAATTAAAAATAAGCATTCTCCATTCTACGTGATAGAAATAAGAGACCCATGATGATCACATTTCCATCTCCATGATCATGATGGCCTTGAAGAAAGAAGTAATTGTTTTGTCCTCTCAACCGAAAACAAATGATTATGAAGCTTGAACTGTCAGTGAGTTGCATGTGCTCTGGAAGATGACTCCTCAAGGCAGAGTTGTGTCAAAGCAACTATACCCTACAGCAGTGTCCCCCAGTTTCTTTCATTACATCTAGAAGCAGAAGTACCAGGAAGAGCCAAGCTTCCTTCCCTGCCTTGCAGAAAATATTTTTGGAGAACACAGCTGTGCTCTTCTACCCATTCTTCAATCAAGTGGAAGAAGAAAATCATCAAATATTGAATTCGCCTATCACCTCTGATCTACCTGTACAAGGCATGCTGGCTACTCGGCAACATGTTACAAACTGATGTGGAGAGCTTGTGGCCAATCGCACCATTTATGGGAAGGGCGCAAGGGAGCTGCTGGCTCTTTTACCATGACAGGAAGGAATTGTTTACTTTGAGAAGTACACTTCCTTTTGCATTCTGGTATGTGCACAGCACATGAAATTGCTTTCCTGTGTGAGATGTAGAAGGTGTGATGGATTTCTAAAGGCAGTTGACATGAAAGCAACAGAAATCAAAAACGTGTGCAGTACTCAGATAATTAAAGACTTTTGGAAAAGTGATGAACATTACATTCGAGAGCGACTGCAGGAAGAATCTCTGGACATCCCCACGGAACTAGTGCTTCTGCAGTAACGGGGTAAGAGTCTGTGTAATAAGATGTAATAAATAATAAAAAAAAAATCTCCTTGATCTGAATAAGAAATAATGGACTGAAGAGGAACGTTGTGCCGACTGTATGGAAAGGACACAGTACTCTGTCGTCATAGTAATGTTAAGAGCGAGTCGGGCAAACGAAATGCCGGCAATATTAACGAATTGCAAAGAAAATGCAGCGGCGGTTGTGCCGTGGCGGCGGTTCCCGCGGCAGAGGCAGCGGCGGAACTCGGTGGAGCCATGCGTGCAGTGCCGGGCGTTGGCTGCGGGCGCCGCTGTTCACCGTGGAGGAGAGGAAGGAGCGGAGCGCTGCCGGCAGCCCCGCCCGCTGCGGCCCGGCTCGCTCGCTCGCTCTGTCTCTGTGTCGGCGTCCGGGCAGACTGCGAGCGGCCCCGCGGTGCAAAGCGGTGCTGCAGCGAGGCAGAGGGGCGGCGGGAGAGGTCGGCAGCGGACGCCGAGCCGGAACCGGAGCAGAAGCAGAAAGAGAAGTGTCAGAAGAAGTGGGAGTGGGAGCGGCGCGGCAGCGGCGAGCGTGAGGTGTCGGCGGTGGTGCGGTGTCGGCGGGGCCGTGCAGGAGATGTGCTTGGCGAGAGAAGGGCGCTGGAGCCGGAGGCAGCGGGCGCTGCTGTGCTGCGTGTTGGTGGCGGCGTGGGAGGCGGCGTGGGGGCAGCTGCGCTACTCGGTGCCCGAGGAGCTGCCCAAGGGCTCGTTCGTGGGCGACGTGGCCAAGGACCTGGCGCTGGAGCTGGCGGCGCTGGGCGCCCGCGGCGCCCGAGTGGTGTCCCAAGGCAGGGCGCAGTATTTCGCTCTGCATGCGAGCAGCGGCCACTTGGTGACGGCCGAGAGGATCGACAGGGAGCAGCTGTGCCGGCTGCTGGAGAAATGCGTGCTGCGCTGTGAGCTGATCGTGGAGGGCGAGATGAAGGTTTATGCAATCGAAGTAGAAATCACGGACATTAACGACAACGCGCCGAGTTTCAAAGAGTTGCAGGTGGAGGAGAGAATGAATGAGATGACAGCCCCGGGGACTCGATTTCCCCTGAGTAAAGCCTACGACCCGGACGTGGGTGTGAATTCCCTGCAGAGCTACGCGCTGAGCGGCGACGAGCACTTCTCGCTGTC